ATATCTATATATATATTATATAATATAGTAGGCCTAATAACCGGAATTTTATTACAATTATGATATTTATGATAAGATGTTTTGGACACCTCCTGAATAATTACCTGAACGCTGTAACCACTGAACAATATATATGTAAGTCGCTATTTCTCTCTCCCGCCCCCCCCAACACAACACCAACGAGAAAGAATGTGAACCGAAGGAAAGGAGAATCTGTCGCGAATCCCGAGAAGTGAATCGTCGACGGCAGCGAGAGAGTTCCGTTCGAGCTCTGATTAACTACCAAGCGACATGCAGCGACCAAAGGTCGCTGACATATATAGGCCTAGGGATCCTGGGTACTTCCAGAAATTCAACGCATCGATCCACATCGAAAAGATCGATCAACGAATCGATCCACACCCAGCAATTTAACAATTCTATCACATCGAGGATATCAACGAATCGATCACATCAAGGTAATATATATTGGGCTCTTACCTGAAAATGATGCAGTAGGATTAATTTCCTGAAATGATACTTATAATAACTACAATCAACAATTATCATCAATCAAGTGTTGTTTTGCGACAATTAATGAGTGACGCGCCACACATTAAACTTCACATTACACCTTAAATTCATACATCCTACCTACACATTCTAATTTATTAAAGTAAGCACACTGGTTCCTTAATCTGCTTATTAAATCTTTATTGTATTAAATGATTAGAATCTGTACGTTATGTAATCAGATACAAATCCTGTACAGACAGACAATGTCTTTTTCATGAGAAAAATAGCTAGGATATAAGCAATAATACTGTTATTGATTAATAAGTAAGTATTATATATATATATATATATATATTATATATATAATTATAGTACTCTATATTACAGTATATTATACTTCAAAATGATGATATATCAGGAGTGGGAATAAAGGGTCCGCTTTTATCCACTCTTGATACTATTGAAATATGTCAGCGATAGTGTCACTGCATGTCCGCACAGTGTAATATTATAAGATAATTTTGTAGATGCTGATACTAGTGCGGCAGGTGCGCTATATAATGCGCGCATCTTAATTTCTCGAGACAACCTGCCAACGAAAATTCTCAAACTCAGAAGAGGGCGTGTAAGGAATACACAAAATTAAATATAGCAGGTATTTAGATTGAGTTTGACTTAGAACCGTTAGATTGGTATTCCGCTATTATTATAGTAGAAGGTATGATTTGATAGTCGCAATAACAAGTTACATTCTCGCTTTCAACTTTGTCCTGGAGCCTAGTAGGCCCACATAGGGTTAAGATATGAGAACACGGGTCCAATAAAACCAATGTCATTGTACATCAATACATAATATAATAATATATCACATATAATGGTTACTTAATCTAATCATCAATAATCAATACCACGTGGATATTGCGTCTCGAGCATCGGACCCCTAGCTGTTCGATGCGCTATTCGTCGAGGCAGTATGTTGATGTAGCGTGCCGGGCAGGTGCACGGCCTTGCTCTAGTGCCGGAGATAGGATAGTGTGAGAAGGGGGGTCGGGGGGTTTTCCCTCCAGCCAATTTTGAATCTAGGCGCTCTCAATTTTCTTAATTTATATTATATTACGGCTTATATTTTGCCCTTTAGGCTTTTTGGCTGCGTTTGCTACGCAGCCGCTACGGCTAGTGACGCTCGGCTGCAAGTAAACATGCATTGCGTATGTGGTTATACACCCTCATAGATGTGTTTTGGTACTATCCCATTTCGCTATTATAAGGCAACCGCGAGTCGTTTGAATAATTAGTGGTAGGTTTAGATTGTGGTTAGTATTGAGTTAGGTATTAGAGTTAAATATTAGTGGAAGGTTTAGATTGGGTTAGTATTAGGAGTTAGGTTTGGAGAGTAGGTGACTTCGCTTAAGTACTAGCATATATATTACTTTATGTAAGAGCAAACGTGAAGCAAGCCGGCATGCCAGCAACTGCTCAGACGAATAGGCATACGAACAGGTGTCCGATGCACGGACGAATATCCACGTCCTAATCAATAATCAATAAATGTCCGAGGCCGTACGCAGCACCCCAGTAATGGGGTCTGCGACCGTGTTCTCTCAATCACGGAAAGCCACCTCCAGTTTGGAGGTGGCACTTTTAAGTAATATATGCGCCCGATATATCCAATCCTATTGCGTACGTGGAACTTACTTTAATCTGAACTTCGAATCATTTATCTAGCGTGGCATGCACGGCTATGAAGTTCCTGGCTAGCGAGCCACAACATAAGAATATGTCAATGCTTACGCTAATGGTATAAATTTATAAACATCATGCCAAAAATGTGTCTGTCTTGCATTCACATTTGTCAACGCAATGAAAATCACCTTCCGGTTACTTCGGCTATTCCGATGTGTAAAAGTTAATAGTCCGCGCGCATCTATGGTCGCGTTAATCTTCCGAGTGAATCTCGAAACTAAAGGAATTGCAATTCAGTTGCGATCGAGAATGAATATGGCCGAAATATCGAAGTTACTCTTACTTAGGATGAATTAAGTTGCAGTGAAACCAAGTCTGAAAACGGAGACTAGAAGTCTTCGGAAGCGATATTGACAATCAGCAGGTCTGTTACTTGATATTTTGGGCTCGGATATATAACCCCCGTCCATGGCCCTCAGTGCTACTCGTTTCACGTCATCCAATGCCACACAAAATTGCACAATTTCTACAAGGGTGACTGCAGACGACAAACCCGCACCCTCAGATTAGCAAAGCGGAGTTATAACGTCTGCATTCCCATGCGGACTAGCTGGCATATGGTTCGTATGTCTCCTACGGGTACCTGCAGTCGGAACGTACCGACTAGTAACTATCTAGTCTGATTATGTGTTAGGGTTAGGGAGCTAGGCGCGTAGCGACCTTCTTAGACTCGTTAAGTGGAGTAGGCGAGGTACGGTTCCTGACATATTAGATAGTATGGCTGCAGGGATAGAAGAAGATGTCCAATCCTATCCTTAATCAACGCTAACATCTCCTAGTCCAACACCGTATCTGGACATCATCTCTATCCTTGAACCGATAGTATTAGTAGTATTAGTAGTAGTACCAGGGTTACGTTCCGGCTAGCTGTACCTTGGGGGGGGGGAGCATAGACCCTCCCGCCCTAGCTAGCGTCGACCAGGGGCGAGATATCATCACGTTGCGTAAAAGTGTATTACGTACGCAGGGTTTTCTACGAAGTACGTGCGAAAAGCTCGTAAGGTGCGATTCATCAACGCAGCGTTAGCACTGCGTACGCAAATGTTGATGACTCGCAGTGTAAATCCACCTAATATATATATATACAGGGGCCGCGGAACGACGGTGTGAGGGTGTAACAACGATGGTGTAAGTGGGGGTGTTCAATTTGTTACCATCCAGTAGAGCGATTTTGTGATAGCGTCGATGCTAGGGGTGGGTACGGGAAGGGGTTGTCCCATCCCGCGCAAAGCGCGGAATTATAAGCTCTAATAATAAATAAATAAATTTATCGGGTTGCCTCATCATCCGTCGGGCGCGCCAGAAATCGTGGTGAGTGTGTTACTCATGACTTTTCGATTGCTAGAAGAACATTAGCGGTCGCAACTCATGCTAATGAAGCTCCTTATAAGCTCTAGCACTAATTAAAACGGGGGAAGTAATAATCAGTGCCGAAATGCCGGTACAGCGATGTTTAAACGTTTCCACGAATTTCACTTCCATGTGGTTTTATTTATTCCGGGGCACTGGCGGATCCGGGATTTCAATGAGGGGGTGAGTAATCGGCGGGGGTATGGGGGTTCTCCCCCAGTAAATTTTGAAAATGTATATCGCAGGAGATGGTATTTGAGGCACTTTTCAGCCTCATTCTGATTTACAGCACAGCCTTTATTCTGCAACCTGCTTACCACTCAATTACATAATTCTATATTAATTTATCCCATGCATCAGGTAGAGTTTTTTACAGCCGCGCGAATATTATACCTAGCAATAATTAATTGGTATAAGATACCAACACATATATTATGTGTAAACATATTGTTACTCCAGCGGAGGGGGGAGCCACCCCCTCCACCACCCCTCTTAATCCGCCACTGCGGTGGTATAGCTTTGAATAGTGTTTGGTGTGAACTTTGCACATAAGACATCAAAACAGGAAGAAGAAAAATGTGTGTGTATAAACGACCCATGTTCTTAACTTCCTTCTTAAATCTAAATTCATCAGAATACTGTATAAAACTTTAGCCCCATAGCTGACGACACCATTATACAGGACGGATATCCACAAGGACACGAGGGGAGTCGGTTTTTGCTACGAGACGATTGGTATACGGCGTGTATCGTCGGAGAGTTAGTTTTTTTGCTACTTGGAGCGTGTGTCGCCCCGTGTCGCCGTAGTGAGAGGACGAGAGGTGTACGGCGTGTGTCGTCGGAGAGACGGTGTTGCTATGTAGAGCGTGTGTCGCCGTAGCGAGAGGACGAGAGGTGTACGGCGTGTGTCGTCGGGGGAGACGGTGTTGCTATGTAGAGCGTGTGTCGCCGTAGCGAGAGGACGAGAGGTGTACGGCGTGTGTCGTCGGGGAGACGGTGTTGCTACGTGGAGCGTGTGTCGCCTTAGCGATGGGAGACTATCTATTTCTAGACTATGGAACTACATGGCTATTCCGTCATAGGGAGCGAAGCCCTGACAACTTGGCACATTTAGACGTGTTTTTGTACGTTTTCTTGCTGGCTCGCTGGTTTCTTACTATGTTATTCTTCTGCCTCAGCAACTTTGCCTTTGCCTCATCTACATCTTGCTTATCTGCTGCAGCATGTGAAACATCACTACCCACACTGCTCTCACCATTAACTTCGTCCATCACTCGATTAGCTGCGCGAATCACTGAATTCAGGTTATCGGCCAGGAATGCTACGCTAAACTTTCTAGAGCCCTTAGAGAGGCTAAGCCTACTATCTTCATTTTCTGTTTGCATAACTGCTTTGCGATATCTAATCTGAATTCAGAGTGCTTCCAGCTTGATTATCACAGATTTACACTTGTCTAATTCATACCTAACCCTTTTTCTCGGTAACCCGGATGATCCCGATCCCAGCTACATTACACAGCTCTCGAGTCAGTTTATCGATTCTGGCTATACACTGCCTCTGTTTATTCAATGCAATATTTTGCTTTTTTGCTCGCTTCTGCAACCTTCGCTCCTGTTCTCTTCCTGTTTTCTTTCTTCCACAAATAAATTCTACTGAATGTGCTCCAGAATAGTAGACATACGTTAGTATAATAATGGATAGCACAAATAGTTTCTTGTACAGCTGGGCCTACCCCTATCCCTAATTGTAATACCGATAGCTATTACTGAAGTTAGACCATAGGAATAGGTTAAATAGCTGTGTAATGATTGAAATACTGTATTTTCCTACAATATTTTTTATTATTATTAGTAAGCAAGTAAACAAGGAAAAATGATCAGTTGTTTCGTCGACTTGAACGTAGTTCTAGATTTTGTACAATTAATGTGTGTCGAACGAGCATCGAATACAAGGGCATAACTGCATATTATGCTCGAAATGACAACAGACCTGTTCCCACGAAATAAAATGAACTATTTGCTTGAAAGAATTGTTATTCGAAGATACATTAGCTCTACACAGTTTGGATGGTTCTAAGGTCAGTTCTTGTTTCTTCTTATGAATTTATTTTTTACTGCAGAGTGGCTGGCTCCCAAGGTGAGCATGGCGCTGCAGCCGCAGCAGGCCCTGGGGCAGGTCGTGCACTGTAAGTGTATTTCATTACTATATAGAGTAAGCGGTTGCCTGCACTGCAGCTACTATTGGCATAGAATGTGCATGTGATAGCTATGCATGGTGCAGCATGCATGAAGCAAGTTGGGTGGCTTCCTGATAATGACGACATTATTGACAAGACTCGACCTTGAGCAGCATAGCAGCCATGTGGTTGCAAGTTCGCACAAGTATGAAGTGATTTACAACACAGGTGTTATAGAATAATATGTTATAGAATAATAATCAGTCACGTGACGAACCATTCGCGCTCTCTCTCTCTCTCTCGCCCTGTCTCTTCTCTCTCGCCCTGTCTCTTCTCTCTCTCTCTCTCTCTCTCTCTCTCTCTCTCTCTCTCTCTCTCTCTCTCTCTCTCTCTCTCTCTCTCTCTCTCTCTCTCTCTCTCTCGCACGGCTTTAATTTACCCAAATCGTCCTTGATCCAATGTACTCAGCATTATCACGATTCAGTACAGACGCATTATCATATAACGAAACACCGGCTCATGAGTGTACAAATGAATCACCAAATTCAGAAAATATCACATAAACTAACCGCGCTTTATTGTATACTTTCCTACCACGCATAGCCCCACGTATAATATACGGAGTGGCTGAAGGTACGGCAGCCGTCGTTCACTGAAGCCCCGTTTTGGCGTTTGTTTGAGGGCTGAAGCAATTATTTGCGATCTTCTGATGTAAAGTTTACAATAATGTTCATTTTCATACCTAATCCGAGTGTTTCTAGCTCATCAAAACTCTCAAATCGTGAATTTCCCAAGGCGTTATTTCGAAATCTGCTGCCCTCCGCCGCCATCTTTGTCTCGTTAAGTATAAAAGTGAATGGACTGCTGTACCTCCAGCCTCGTCAATTAGAGATACGGTTGCCGTACCTCCAGCCACTGCCTATGCGCGATACCGTGCGTGCATATTTTCACTCTAATTAAACTAACCGCGCTTTAATAAACTGAATACTCAGGTAGATCATAGCTAAGACATGTCTATGATTGGGGAAATTTCTAGAAATGTCTCTCAAGTCGTTCGCGAGATATAAGAGCAAGTATACATTCCTACCACCCATACCCGATACAGCGCGTGCATATTTTTGCATTAATTAAACTATCCGCGCGTTAATGTACTCAACACTCGCACAGATCATAAGACATGGGTTTATGACAGCTAGGTAGCATTTCTAGAAATGTCACTCAACTCGTCGCGAGATACAAGAGCAGGTACACTTTCCTACCACCCATAGCCCTGCGTATAATAGCCTGCGCCAGCTACCGCGCGTGCATATTTTCACTCACAATTATACTAACTGCGCTGCTGAATCATAATACGGCAATGCGTTTTATTAGATCAGTGTTCAAACGTACGGTTATTTACAAAAACTTACAAAGAGTTTTCATGGCCACATGTTAGGTAGATTAAAAACACTAAAAAAACATGACACAGTCAGGTAGTATACCTTAAAGGTTTCAAGACTTTCTCAATTAATTCCTAGTCTAGCTTTCACACGCGTGCAGTGTGCTCGCTTGTTCACAGAGCCAAGCTGATCTTACATGTTAGTCTGACAGTTCGAGATGAACTTACAGCTTACATCTCTACGACATCTCCCTAGAGTTATCATGCATTGCCATGTGTGATTATAGGGTGTTTTCAGAGCTAACTCTTCACTTCACATGTTACATTTAAATTGTTTTTTCTTTCATATTTTTCTTCTTCGTTTTCTCTCCCGTGTGGGTTCTCATGTGTGTCTTCAGACTACACCGGTGGGAGAAGGTAGCATCACACAAATCGCACTTATGTGGTTTCTCTCCCGTGTGGGTTCTCATGTGTGTCTTCACTTCACCCAGACGGGAGAAGGTAGCATCACACAGATCGCACTTATGTGGTTTCTCTCCCGTGTGAGTTCTAATGTGTGTCTTCACAGCACCCGATTGTGCAAAGGTAGCATCACACAGATCACACTTATACGGTTTCTCTCCCGTGTGGGTTCTCATGTGTATCTTCACATAACTCGATTGTGAGAAGGTAGCATCACACAAATCGCACTTATGTGGTTTCTCTCCCGTGTGGGTTCTCATGTGTGTCTTCAGATTACTTGAGTCCGCGAAGGTAGCATCACACAGATCGCACTTATGTGGTTTCTCTCCCGTGTGAGTTCTAATGTGTGTCTTCAGTGCACCCAATTGTGCAAAGGTAGCATCACACAGATCACACTTATATGGTTTCTCTCCAGTGTGACTTCTCATGTGTGTCTTCAGATGATGCAAGCGGGAGAAGGCAGCATCACACAGTTCACACTTATATGGTTTCTCTCCCGTGTGAGTTCTCATGTGTTTCTTCAGAGTACCCGATTCTGCGAATGCGGCATCACACAGATCGCACTTATACGGTTTCTCTCCAGTGTGAGTTCTCAGGTGTTTCTTCACATGATCCAAGCGGGAGAAGGTAGCATCACACAGATCACACTTATGTGGTTTCTCTCCAGTGTGAGTGATAATGTGTGACTTCACATGACTCGATTGTGAGAAGGCAGCATCACACAGATCGCACTTAAATGGTTTCTCTCCTGTGTGAGTTCTCATGTGTGTCTTCACACTACTCAGATAGGAGAAGGAAGCATCGCACAGTTTGCACTCATATGAATTTTCCCCGGAATTAATTCTCACGTACTCCATCGTGCTTCGGGGAAAGCTGCCACGTACTGGTGACACACGTCAGATATGTCTACCCTGTCTGGCGTTCAAGTCACGACCACGTGTTTTGCTTCGAAGACAGCCTCGCTCACTTGTAGAATTCACGTCCTATATATAGGCTCTCCTACAAATTAGTAAAGAGAATAGAAATCAATGCATTGAACACC